CGATTTTACACTCGCAATTAAACACGGCATACAAAAAAGTTTTTTTAAATAAACACATCCACACAATCACTTACACTCCGAATACCATTCAATCCGAAACTTCCGAACATACACTTTGTCTTTTGACCTCCCCCTTTTTTCCACATCGAGAGAAGGTACAGGTCTTTCGCAATTTAAAAAATCTTTTTTGTCCTCAATTTTCGGTCTGGAAAATGGCATTTCCAATAAAATACATACAGGATCGTGCATAGGAAACATTTCTACAAATTATTGATATAAAACAAATATTAATAAAGAACCATTATAACCGTGCACTGGGCAACGTATCGTATAAACTGTTTACACACGATAGACAGGCGATGCGCGATGACGATGAGAATGCTGCTTCAACTTTTGCATCACTCGTTCTCCCAGGCCGTAGTTTACACATGCGTTGGCTGCCTCGTTGCCATGACAACCGCCGTACGGAGAGCTACGGAGAGAAGCAGATACATACCAATTTCAATATGAGTCACTTGCGTAGTATACGTTGTATGGTACGAGGTTGATGTTCGCGCTCAACGAAGCCAATGATTTTTTAGAAGGCGTTCACCGCGGAATTATTCTGTTTATTTCTGCGTATAAGACAAACAAACACAATACATTTTCAATATAGAATTGTACCTAAATTATAAGATTTATATAAAATTTAAAATAATTTTAAATTGCACAAACAAACGGAAATTTTAGGTGAAGCGGTGCGTCACTTGCGTCACCCGACGAGCCGCCACTGGATTTCATACTGATAAGAATGTTAAGAAAATTGTTGGAATTAATTTTAAAATTGGCTTTAATGTGTAGTAAAAATTGATAGTGCCACTAAAAATCAGAAAAATATAATCCGTCTGCCGAAAATACAAAACTACATATACCTTTAAATCTTCTGAAACATATTTATTAATAAATTAGTTACGCCTATATATAAAAAAAAATAATTTTTAACCTATGCAGCCTTCAAAGTAATTTTGCAGATTAATGTAAATATCGGAAGAAATCGAATATTCTACCTATATAAAATAATAGTAAATATTTGTACATGTTTGGGTATTCGTGTTGGTATCTGTAACTCGACTAAAATCATATAAATCTTAACGAAATTAATTTATATTCTTGCAGATAGATTAAACATAAAATAGCTTTAAGAGAAACAAATCCTAAACAAATTGGCAAGTAAAGTGTGTATATGTCTCCTCCAGCGGCGGCTGGTGCGGGCGGGGCGAGGGCATGCTCTGGGGTGCCGCCTCAGAAAATTTCGAAGTAAAAAAATTTAATTTCAAATTTAGTTTAATGTTATCTAGATAATTAAATAGATTAGCCTTATGAAACACAATAAAAAGGATAAATATTAAATTTGTTATGCGTACTCAATTTTACTCGACTTGCAAAATGCATTTGAAAAACACTGAATGTGTGATGTCCTCGTAGCTCGTCCATAAATCTACTGTTAATTTTATGGATACACATATCCGTAGATTCACATGAAAACAGTCGTAGGAATCCGTAGAACAAATTACAAAATCTGTAAAAAAATCCGTAAAAATTAAATACGACAAATTGCCTCTGTGTCTTAGATTTACCAGGGCCAGGGGCAGTCTAAAACTCTCCCTAACTGTGGACAATTAAGATAAGCGCTTACTTATCCGCGCCGAACGCAACGCAGGCACCGAGCGAATCACAATGTTTCGCTTTTCCATAGGAAGTGCGTCTCGTGCGACTCGAGCCAGTTAGCGCAAATGTATTATACAGTATAGGAAAGCGCCGATGGTCTATCACAAGTTACGTGAGAGCGATAAAGTAAGACATAGAAATCTATGCGATAGAGAAGGATGGCTATAATGAAGGCTTCTCTTTGTCACCGCCCGTTTCGCCCTTCCACAAATAAGATCCACTTCTTATTTGTGGAGTAAGTAAGTAAGTAAGTAAGTAAAAGTAAGTAAAATCTTTGTTTGTTCTCTTTGCATAAGAATTATTAAATACCCTTAGGGTGTAGAACTCGTCAATTATATGTAGTAAAAAATAGTAAAAAAGTTATATATTTAAATATAAGAAGTAATATTAAATATAAAACAAGATGCACACCAATACTAACATTGCTGATAAGTAAACACGNTTACTATTTATTTATTTATTTATTAATAAAACAAAACAACAAATAAAATAAAATGTTTAAATTGTTGACCAATAATTTCCTGACAATAGGCAAGTCGAACAAATATTCGTAATGCTAGGGGCTGGATTTGTTGTATTTCTTCTTTAATTCTATTATTGAATTCTTCAATATTTTCCGGCTTATTAAAGTAGACTTCAGATTTCAGATAACCCCCCCCCCCAGATAAAAATCCAATGGGGTTAGATCTGGAGACCTAGCGATAAAACCCCTCCTTTGGATCCATCTATTTGGGAAAATATTGTGCTAATCTCGTACTGTTCGTGAATAGTGTGAGGGCGCTCCATTCTGTTGGAACCACATATCGAATCTACCTGTATATTTGCGTTGCAGTTAAACTAGGTATTATGTAATTTTGTAGTAAGTCTAAGTGTGCCCTCAAAAAGGCGGACACACAATTGTGGCCCATACGTTTACTTTCTGGGGGAATTCTGTAAGATTTTCTATACTCCAATTTGGGTTTTCTGGTGCCCAATATCGAAAATTTTGCGTGTTTACCGAACTATTCAAACAAAATGTTGCGTCGTTAAAGTCTTACTTAAAAATTGCGAGCTGGCATTGCATCATCCTTCATTATTTTGCAAAATTCTAATCTGCGGTCGCGATAATCTTCAATAAGTTCCTGAACTAAATGTACTTTGTATGGGTGCCATTTGTTCTGCTGTAAGTCAACAATCAAAATTACCAGAATTGAAAAAAAAAACAAAATAAATACACAATTGAATGTTTTGCTCGATTTAGAAAAAAAAAAAAAAACTCAGAAACTAAGTCGAAAATACACTGCTCAATAATGGATACTGGATACTTGTGATTATCAGAAAAACCGCATCCAAAAATGAAAATCCGTCGATGTTTCAGCTCACAGAATTCAGCCTCACGGTGGCCAGAATAAACTTACTTAGTATTTTATATTAAAATATCAAGTATTTCGTGCGAACCTTTCTATATTACTTTTAACTAATTTGAAAATTTCATTTTCAATTTTTTTTTATGTAGCTGAAACTAAACGAATAAATCAAGTTGGAAAAGCTTTAAAAACACAACGCAACTTGAACATAACATCACTATAATTAAATATGAATTAAAAAACATCCAAACAGTTCTTTATAAGTTCAAGTACTTAATTTAGAGACTAACCTGTATGTCTTCGTACAAACTCAAGTATGGTGCTGACTTCTTTAAATCATCGCATATTTTGATTGTGGTGTGATGAATACTCTTGTCTTTTAGGTCGTCCATTTGTATTTGGAAATTTGTTGAAAGTCTTGAAACAAACAAGATGCCAACAAACAGATCACGGCAAATGTGTTATTGGTATCTTAGCGACGTAAATATTGATTATTCAGTTACAGACTGAGAACTTTGCCGTTAATATATCTTCCATTGTTTATCTGCATTTTGAAAGAGTCAACAGTTTACTGTTGTTTGCCTTAAATTTTCGAATTACAGTTTCCATACTTGTGGTCAAATATGATCATATGAAAGAGATATTGCGAAAGTTTATGAGGTCAGTAGTACTTAAATAACATATATGTGAAAATTAAAAATATGACGGAAAGGTATATTTATCGAGCCAGGGGCCGCTAAACTTACCATTTTGTAGTTTTTCATAATCTGGACACCTTTGCTTATCATTTGCGTAGGTACTTTGACGTTTTATACCGGGTGATTCAGTTTGGTATTCGCGGCCCTGTATTTTTTTTATTTTAACAAATAGCTATAACAAACCCTATATATTTTTAAATCGCCGCTCAAACTCTATCAAATGACATTATTAAA